AAAACATTACTCACAGTAACGTTTATTCATTTAACGTTGTCAGCTCCGTCGGTTTTTGTCCGTTGAATTTTTAAAATAAAAATAACCTAAAACGTTACCATGAAGTACGTTTATACTACTTTTGTAAAAAATTTAAAAAGCGTATTAGTTTGGTGAATTGATTTTTAAAATAGCTTATTTTGGTCAATGCTTCTAATATTTACCATACAAAATTTAGTTCAGTGCTTTTTTTGTTAGCAAAATAGTTCGATAATCTAATTTCTCTATAATTAAACTAAAAGCTCAGTGAATTTCTATGTAACTAACTTGCACTTGTATAATCTTCTACAAGCACACAAAGAAAAAAGAGTAAAAAACGCTTCCCTGCATTAAGTTGTGTCAGAGGCAAACTCAAAATTTGAAGACTCCGATTGCATCATTATTATCTTAATTTAGGCATTGCCAAAGTTTTTAATGACAATTAACGGATACTATTGTATTAGATTGGTTACTAATGACTTCAACAATAGTGAATATATTAAATATAAATATGAGCTCTAAGCTCAAACGTAACCCTGATCTTGTGGGAGGATATGTGTTGGCTTATACCAGAGATACCAAGTGCCCTTCTATGCTTTCCATGGGACTGTTACTTATATTTAGTTTCTGTCAATTTCTTAAGGTAGATATAAAAATATATACTTATTTTTTTCGAAGTTAATAGTTACACATGCATCCCACCTATATATGTGAGTCTGCCTCTGGCTGCAACTATTATGCGACGACATGTTTTCATTTTTTGTCCAAAGAAGAATTTAATTTTAAAATTTTCATTTTACTCTTAATTATATTATATGGCTTTATAGTCATAAAAAATGTTTATGGTATATTTTATAGTAGCACACAAATTTTAATGTCTTTCTTTATTTTTAAACGTCGTACTCAATCAAATATGCTCCTGTAATTAAAATCGGACCAAAGTAGTGCCAGCAGCCTTTGCTACAGTTATTTACCTAAGCATTCACATTTAGCAATCTCATAATCGAATATTCAAAACGCACAACTTTATATTGGTGGATGTAATCGAAATCATTCCAATTTTATAACGTAAAAAGTTTAAGCTAAACTTTTATATAAGTACGTTTTTATTTATTTAATTATGTATTTAACATAGCCCTCATGGGCCCATCACAAGAAAATTGGTTTTCATAGTAAGTGTTGGTGAGACTCAAATTCAACACCTATTATATATTTTCTCTCCCACATTTTTCATTTTTCGAGAGTCAAACAATTTAAGTTTGATGGACAATTTGTGCATGCATGGAATCTTCAAAATTTTTAAAATGAAATTTATATATTTGTAAATTATGTAAAAAGTATTATAAGTCACAATGATTGATAATTCAAAATGTTTAAAAGATCTATGAAAAACTTACGGTCAAAAATAGACTTGTTTGAATCTTAAAATCCGAAAAGTGTCATATAAAATGAGACGGAAGAAGTATTATATTATGATATCACGAATAAAAAAGAAAGCATTTACAAAAAGAAGTCTGTTTATGTAATGGATAGAATTTGTTCAGTATACAGATTGAATGTGGGATACAGCAAAAGCACACTAACAAGACTTAGAATTGATATGAAATTAAACCAATTAAGCATGTGACATGGTGTTGGTGAATTATAATGGACCACTTAGCCTGTAGGGCTCTTTTATATGTGCTTTTTGTAAAGACGCGCTTTTATTAGCTTCCGAAAAATCTATAAATAGCGTTCATCAATCCATGCAATATTATTCATATTCAACTAATATCTATTACAATGGCGAAGAGTAGTACTAGAGTTTTTAATATAGTTTTCTTTGTTTTATTGAGTATAGGAATATGTTCAGCAGCAAGAACACTCATCGGTCTTGATGTTGGTGTTGGGGCGAAAGTTGGTGCTTATGCTGGTGGTGGTGGAGGAGGTTCTGGTGGAGGTGGTGGAAGTGGAGTTGTAGCTGGGGACCATGGTGGTTATGCTGGTGGAAGTGGTAGTGGTGCAGGTGGTGGAAGCGGATATGGTGCTGGAGGAGCACCAGGAGGTGGATACGGAGGTGGAGGTGGTGGAGGTAGTGGTGGTGGTGGCGGTGGTGGTAGTGCTGGTGGAGCACACGGTGGTGGATCTGGTGCGGGTGAAGGAGGAGGAAGTGGTGGTGGATATGGTGCTGGTGGGGCATCAGGCGGTGGATACGGTGGTGGAGGTGGTCATGGAGGTGGTGGTGGTGGCGGTGGAGCGACTGCTGGTGGAGCACATGGTGGGGGATCGGGTTCAGGAGAAGGAGGTGGAAGTGGTGGCGGATATGGTGCTGGTGGGGCACCAGGCGGTGGATATGGTGGTGGAGGCGGACAAGGAGGTGGTTCAGCATCAAGTGGAGCTGGTGGAGCGTCAGGTGGTGGATATGGAGGCGGTGAAGGTGGTGGTGGTGGTGCAGGCGGAGCTCATGGAGCAGGAGGCGGCGGCAGTGGAGGTGGAGCAGGCGGTGGAGGAGCCTATGCAGGTGGTGAAGGGGGTGGACATGCTGGTGGATATGGTGGTGGTGAAGGCGGTGGATCCGGACATGGTGGTGGTGGTGGCAGCTATGCTCCTTGAAAACTTATTATCTTCACAATTTGCAAACACTACAGGATTTCCTATTCTTAATTAATATCTATACTACTATTAAAAATAACATGATCAAATTGTGGTAAGAATATGTGCAATTTATGAAAGCAAATTATTAAAAATGTTGCAGCAAGAAAAGTGCTCTTAATCTATATTTATGCACGCTTGCTTTAATTTTTTCAAATATCAATCGCAAGGAATATGTGTAAACAAAGGTGTCTTGTGCAATTTGGTGCATATAATGTAAGAAAATGCTTTGGCAAATTCCTGTGTACGTTCTCTATTATACATTGCATGCATGATGCTATATACAGTACTGGTATTTCATTGGACCTCTTAAACGACTAAGTAAAGAAAGATCCAAGTGAAAAAAAAAAAAAATTCCTTCCTTTTAATTTGTTTCTCTAGTTCACTTTAACACTGACTTTAAAAAAATAACGAATATTTTTGAATCTTATAGTCTTAAACTAAAGATATCTAAAATATCAAAATACTTTTTAATTTTGTGATCTTAAAACATGTCATATGAAAAGCAAGAAGTATAGAGATACCAAAACAGGAAAGAGAATAGAGTGGTATATATTAACCGTCCATGCTACTAAGGAAACAAAAACTACGCACTTACAGAATGATTCATATGATGGTTAATTTACTTATCATGTATAAAATAGAAGTATCTGGACAAAGAATTATTCCAACTAAAACTATGCATGTTGCTAGACTCTTTTAAGGTTAATTATGAATAAAAATTACAACTAAGGGACAATAATCTGTCCTTAATTCTCATAGTCCAGTTGTAACAAGAAGCAAAGAATTATAATTTGGGTGGACAACATAGAGATGCCTCCTAGCCGTCTCTCTCTCACGCAAAGGCAGATAATAGCTTAACGGTATCGGATTTATTTGAATTTAGTATTTTTTATGTGAAGTATAGATTTATTTATAAATATTTAGTAAATTAGAACAAATATTAAATATGAGTTCATAATTTTAAAACTAATATGTTCAATATAGGCAAAAAAATATTACGCAGGTAATTTCTTTTATTATTATTTGTCCAAGTTTGAGTGGACAAAGTTTCTTGTATTTGTCTGTGACTTGAGAAATAACAGGTACTTCGATAAATTAGTCGAGTGCACACAAGTTGTTCTTAATATCATCATTATATCACGTTTATAAGAATGTGATATGAAATGAAATAAGGAAAACGGTTTGGGCGGGCAAAAATATAATAAGGATACTGAAAGTAAGTATATTATCTTCGATTTCAGCCTTCACTCATGATGTTCTTTCTTGTGTTTGTTGTGTGATCTTTTAATTCCAATTATATCACGTAAATTGAGCCAAAACACAAGAATTCTCTCGTAGCCATTAAGGATATGAATTAAGTTAAGTTAATCTCTACTTCTAATACCTTAAATTAAGAGTCCAGATTATCACTAATGTATACAATTGATCCTCACTAAACAAATAATGTAGAATAGAGTGGCGGAGTATAATCTAGCTAGTTGAAGATCATATAAATCACCTACATTCCCTGAGAAAGTGTGAAAACGTTTTGGATTTTATAGACTGATGAAATTCATCATGAAGATTAGGACTTACGATAGACGCATTAGGGTGTGACTGTCTGTGTGAACTGATGATCAAGTATCTGTGGATGCCAGCAAAAGCACACACTCCATTAGTGCAAATTAAATTACTCATTTTTTGGATTCTGAGATTCGTCTATCTTTGACCACTTATAGTACTTTTTATGTAGTTTACAAATATATAAATTTTTCATTTCAAAAAAATTAAAGATTCCATGCCCAAATTTTCGGTCAAACTTAAATTGTTTGACTCTGGAAAAACAAAAGGTGTGACATAAATTAGGATAGAGGGAGTATCATTTTAGAGTTTGTCTTCCTTTCCCTTTATTTCCAATATCATTTTGGAGTTTGGTGTGACTTTAAATGTGTTTGTGGCATAGACGCGCTTTTCTATAAATAGCGTTCTTGAATCCATGTAATATTCATATTCAACTAATTAACTATCTATTCCAATGGCAAAGGGTAGTACGTACTATAGTTTTCTTTATTTTATTGAGTATAGGACTATGTTCAGCTGCAAGAACCCTCATTGATCTTGATGTTGGTCTTGGTAGCGGTGAAGGTGGACATGGTGGTGGCTATTCCCCTTGAAAGCTTATTGTCTTCACAGTTTTCAAAGGATTTCCTCTTCTTAATTATCTGTACTATAAAAAATACTAACATGATCAAATTAAAAGGTAGAAGAGGTCTAATTTATAAAAGCAATGAGTGCTCATAAATCATACTAGGGCTATACTTGTTTCTTTTAATTTGAATGTAAGAATGTGATCTCTATATAAAAAGATGTCTTGTGAAATTTGGTGCATTTTAATGTTAGAAAAAATGTGTTGTCGAATTCTTGTATTCTCTATATCTTTGCATGCATGCTTGCTATATAGTTAAAAACATTACATTGGACGATCTCAAGACTACAGGTGAAAAGAGAAAAAAAAATATTAATTAAACTTCTAATAAACAAAAGAAAGAAAAGAAAAGATCAAGGGGAAGATTCTGCCCTTTAATTTATTTTTAAAAAAAAAAAATTAAAAAAAAGAAAGACATTGCCTCTATAGATTATTTTTGTGCAAAAAATTACATATTTGAATTTGCTATATCAGATTTTGTATATGACCATCGAAATAAAACAAAAGTATGCCTACTCAATCAATCTATATATATATATAATAAAAGAGAAACATAGACTAGATGATGTGACATCCCTCTATGACCTCTATTCATATTTATCTTTTTTCACCTTTTTTGATCATTATTTTGTCATTTAATTATTCATTTATTTTTAATGTCTCAAAAAATCTTTACATTCAATTATTCAACTTTTCATCTACCACTATAATATAAATTTAATATCTTTAATAAAAAAAAATTTAACTACTATAATAACTCACGCCTCTTCAACTTATACTCTTAATAATATTCATAACTTCCTTTTTTTTAATCTTCATAACCCCAAAATTTAATTTGTTAGTTTATGACACCTTATGGTATTCCTCCTTTTTGCCTATATAAATTCATATTTTGCATGAAGAAAATTTTCATTCAAGTTATTCTTTCACTTCTCCATCACCATAGCATACATTAAGTGTGAGGAAGAAAATGTTAATCATCACATCATATATTTGCTTTCAAGAAAGTCATAAAGAATTTAAGAGTAAGAATGTTTCTTTTAATTTTTAAAATTATATTTTTTGTCTTAATTAATGTGAAATTATTTCTTTATTTTTTTTAGAATCAATTTAATTAATCTTTTAAACTATGTAACTAACAATTTTGTAAGAATATAAAAAATTATAATTTTTTAATTTTAATTAATGTGAAACTATTTTATTTTATTTTAGAATCAATTTAATTAATCTTTGAAACTATGTAACTAACAATTTTGTAAGAATATATTCTTATGCTTCTAGGGATGAAGTAGAAAGCTGAGAAAGATAGAAAACTGTGAGTTTCGGAAGAAGATGTAGAATTTTACAATAAAATTATTATGTATTAGTATAGTATAAGAGTGTCAATTACTACTTTCTCCATTCATTTAGCAGTTATTTCTATTTTTTATTGTATAAAGTTAATGTCTCAAAATTTAGCATTTATTTCTATTTTTTTATTGTAAATTTTTAGGCTTAAATATTTCACTCCAACCTTTTATTTTCTCCATAAAGAATGAAAGTATATATGTATCTATTAGAAAAGTGTTGTAGCACCTCTTTGGTCAATGATCTGTTTATCTTTTTTCTCAATTTTTTTTTTTATAATTTCCACTATATTTCTATTTATTATTACTATATAGAAAATGTGACAATTACTGCTCCCTCTGTTATTTTTTATCCTTTCATTTTCTTCATAAAGAATGAAAGTCTACATCTATTTATTGAAAAAGTGTTGTAGCACCTCTCTTTAGCCAATGATCTATTTATCTTATTTCTCTTCTTTTTTTTTCATTATATTTTTATTTATTATTATTATTAAGAAAATGTGTCAATTACTACTTCCTTATTAATTTTTATTATTTATTGAAAATATTTAAATGTCTTAAAAAATTTACTACTCTATTTATTTCTACTCTTTATTGTAAATTTAATAGCTTAAATATTTATCACTCAAAACTTTCATTTTCTCCATAAAGAACGAAAATTTATTAAAATAAAGTCGTCTAATAAATATCAATTCAAATAGCTTGAAAAAAAATTCATCCTCTTAACTCTCTTAATTATGAGATCTCTCTTCTTATCTTAATTTTCAAAAATCTAAAAAATATTACATGATTAGTCAATTTAAAAAATAAGGCAATTACTCACTAAATAAGTGAAAAAAATGATAAGTTGTAATTCTCTAAAATCTTTTGCCCAACATCTATTTATATTAATTACATGTCATGATGAACCCATATTAAAGTTAGGAGTAAAAATGTTGCACTAGCCAAATAATAAATTGTTTTTTAATTTCATTTTTCTCATTTATTTAGTTAGTTATTATAAGAATAAAACTCCTAGTAATTATGATTTATTGAAACTCTAAATTTAAATAGTTAAACAAATCCTATAAACGTAAATAGAATTATATAAAGAAAGTTATTAGTAAAATAGCATAAATAATTTGAAACACCTAAAAATGAAATAACAATGTATGTAATAAAGATAAAGAAATATTTCTTTGTATTACGTCAAGGCTAAATTGTAGTTCTCTTCTACTTTTTTTGAAGCTAAATTGTAGTTCTCTTCTACTTTTTTCTTCAAACAAATTTATTTTTATTGTTTTTTTCCCTTTCTTCTTTTATTGTAATTTTTGGTTCGATTTTATATATATTATTTTTACTATTGAAATTTTCTAAATTTTTTTATATCAACTATATATAAGACAATATGATCGCGCTATAACTAGTTTATTACAAAATTTAAGAGGGTTTATAAACTATTTGGATGTTTGGTTCTTGTTAGGCTCTTTAATTTTAAGATTGTTGATTAAATTTTGTAATGTCGAATTTGGAAATCCGTCTTCTCACAAAAAAGGTGAAATTGTCAAATCTAATTTGATGGATACTTTCGCTTAGTAACGTTCATTTTAATAAATTATAATGAGTATATACTAAATTAATTTTTAAAATTAGGATTTAAATATTCAGAAATTATGCAAATTAAATTTTCTTACATTATTTAATTGGAAAATAGTACATTTTAAATGATTGAGGGAGACATATAAATCTTTCAACCACTTACTACTTTTATCCCTTCAATGGAAATTGCAAAATGCACCAATACAAAAGATAAGAACATCACATAAATGGGTTAGTAGAGATATCTAATTAGTGGCAAACTGGCAATAAAAATAATTTAGCGGTAACATTTATAGTCTCAAACATATTTAGCTACAATTGATTTAACGTCATTATACTCAGCATCGCTAAAAATTTTATCGCTATTTATCTAGAATAACAATTATAAATACACATATTTATTATTACTATTAAATATAATATAACAACAATTATATTATTGTTGTTAAATTTATTCGTGGTAATAATGGCGCCCTCTAAAAAAAATGAAGTAATGTTTGATTGATACATGAAATTTGTAAATGTATATATAACACACTACGAATTAATAATCTTGAAGGGAAGTCCTAATTAATACATGAAATTTATAAATGTATATATAACACAACTAGAGATTTAACTCAACTTCGATACAACATGTAAAAAGAAAATCAAAAAATTGTTTTATTCTAATTTGAACTTTTTTTGCTGGCATCTTATTAAAAAATTATTTTGTTAATATTTGTGTCTGATCAAGCATGATCATTTAAAATTAAAACAGACTAATTTGTATTTAGTAAAAGATTTATAACAATTTGAATTGGATTAATATTGGATAAATAACTTCAATGTGCATTGGACTGTTAATGGCAGTGATAATCAAAGTTGTGGATGCCAGCAAAAGCACACTACTGTAGTCTACTAGCTAGTGCAATAAAATACTTTCCGTTTATCCAACATCTTTCTTCGTCTAAGAAAAACTTATTTTTATTTTTAAAATTATAAGAATCAAAAATCTTATTTATTTTTAAAATTTTGTATCATATTAAAATAGGACGAACAACTTGAAACAGAAAGAGCATATATATCATTTTCATCCTAATTCCACTTTTGTTGTGTATTTTTGTGGATATTGCGATAGTGGGGGAAGCAAAAAATTCTTCTTGCATGTGCTTCAACCACTCTTTGCTCATTGACACGCTTCTGGACCATCATCCAACCACAACATGCTTGTTGGGAGAATGTCTATATATAGAGGCGTAATTGTTTACATATCATAACCAAAATTGTGGGATTCACAAAACATTCTTCAATGGCTAATCATAAGGTTTCTATTGTGTTTTTCTTTATGTTAGTTAGTGTAACCATATGTTATGCTTCTTCTAGAGCTCTCCTCAATCTAGAGGGAGGCCTTGGCTACAATGTGGGTGGCACCGTTGGCTATGGTGCAGGGCATGGTGGTGGTTCCGGAGGCGGTTATGGGGGTGGTGGAGCTGGGGGATATGGCGGTGGTGGAGGTGGAGGTTCTGGAGGTGGTGGTGGTTATGAAGGTGTAGTTAATCATGGTGGTGGTGGTGAAGGTGGTGGTAGTGGTGGAGGTAGTGGCGGTTATGCACCTGGTGGAGAGCATGGAGGAGGATATGGAGGAGGTGGTGGTGGTGGACATGGTGGAGGAGGGGGTTATGGTGGTGGTGGTGATCATGATATAGGATATGGAGGTGGAGGAGGAACAGGAAGTGGTGGTGGATATGGTGGAGGCACAGAACATGGAGGTGCATATGGTGGTGGTGGAGGAGGAGGAACAGGAAGTGGTGGTGGATATGGTGGAGGCGTAGAACATGGAGGTGCATATGGTGGTGGAGGAGGAGGAGGAACAGGAAGTGGTGGTGGATATGGTGGAGGTGCATATGGTGGTGGTGGAGGAGGAGGAACAGGAAGTGGTGGTGGATACGGTGGAGGTGCATATGGTGGTGGAGGAGGAGGAGGAACAGGAAGTGGTGGTGGTTATGGTGGAGGTGTAGAACATGGTGGTGGAGGAGGAGGTGGAAGTGGTAGTGGTGGTGGATATGGTGCGGGAGGGGTTCCAGGAGGCGGTTATGGAGGTGGAGAAGGAGGAGGAAGTGGTGGTGGCTATGGAGGAGAAGGAAGTTTACCTGGTAGTGGATATGGAGGGGGAGGTGGTCATGGAGGAGGTTATGGTTCAGGAGGAGCTGGTGGTGGTGGTGGATATGGAAGCGGTGGAGGTGCAGGTGGTGGCGCAGGAGGAGCTTACGGAGGTGGACATGCTGGTGGTGAATCAGGAGGTGGATATGGAGGAGGTGGTGGAAGTGGTGGAGGAGGTGGCCATGGTGGCTACATTCCTTGAACTTTCATAACTTGTATGGTCTAATGCATGCAATCCCATTAGTACTACATTACTACTGAAGTAGTGTTAATTACTATATGCACTTCACTTGTTATCCTTAATATGTAATAATGATATTAAAAGTATATAAGAATCAATATTTGATTTTCATCATCTATTATTTTTTCTTTAATCTTCATTGAACAACAATTACTACTGGTAGCAATGGTAGATTACAACAAAGTTCTCTTCCAATGTTCAGTAACCACTAATTTAGACAGTCCCTGATATTTTGGTCACTCCAGCGCACTACAACAAAAATAGATTTTAGCGGGCAATAAATATGTATATTATTATCTTCATCCACTTTTAATTGTCATAGTTCCTTTTTTAAAGTCAAACTACAAAAACTTTGACTAACATTTTACAATGTATTTTTTCATCATATTGATACGCAAAAAATTGCAATTTATAATACTTTTCGTATAGTTTTTGAATATCTAAATTTTTTGTTTAAAATATCGAATTAATGTAATCTAATTTAACTTTAAAAATTAATCAAATAAATTTTTGAAAAGTGCAACATGATAAATAAAAATAGACGGAGGGAGTAACAAAAAAAAAGGTAAACTTTTTATCATTCTTAGTTAATTGTCATTGAATCTAATGTCGTTATAGACTTTAGGAGCATTTACAAAGAATGCTAAAATGTAATTGTTACCGTTAATTGCCGCTAAAAATATATATTTAATAGTAATTTAACTATTGTCGTTAAATAATTGATGTTAAAGATCATTTTTAGTGGTGGGCTATGAGTCACATCCTTTACCAATAAAATGCAAATGATATTTTGATGATCTTATTGTTATTGGAAAAAGAATTGGTCCCCTAGTAGGTGGCTGAGATGAGTGTGAGCACATATGACATATATATGAGATATTGTAAACGCAATGAGTGAGGTGAAGCTATCAAACTCTCCATTTTGCCACTTTCTTTTTGCACTTTTTTGGTATAGTCAGAAAGTGCAGTTATCTTTTTTTTCCCATATAGTAAAGTTAAGATCCTAGAAAAACTGATCTTCAAGCTATTTTCATTAGGTATGATCATACTCCATAGGAGTTAAATGATACCTTGCCATTGTTTTTTTAAATGGATATGAAAAGAGCTAAAACGATACTTATCTTGATAAAGAAAAAGTATTTTGCAAGGTGATGAAACAGATCATGGCACTTCTTTGCTAGTTGCATCCTTAATTTGTTATGTCCTCTGTCGCTTTTACTTGCTATATTTCGTTTTTCGAGAGTCAACTGTATAAATTTTGATCAATATTTTAAAATATACTTTTTTATCATATTAATATGAGAAGGATTGCAATTTATAGTATTTTTTCATATTCGAACATCTAAAGTTTAAATTTAAAATATTGAATTAGTCTATTTCAATTTAGCTCGAAGATTAAAAATCAAATTGATTCTCATGAAGCAAAATATGACAAGTAAAATTGAACGAAGGGTGTAATAAATTAAAGTTGTTTACCTTTTGTTGGCTCTAATTCTGAAGTACAATGTTAAGTTAACAAAGATAATTACTACTTAATAATAAAATCACAAAAGAAAGAAAATGGGAGAAATATAATTGAATTTATTATAATATAAGCAAAAGTGCTAGTAATATTGATTCTTGAAGATGCTGCATTCTTTAAATTTTTGCTGTTTACAACGGACATATGGAGTAGAATAACGTTATTCAATTTCTTAATAGCTTATTTAAACCTTATATTAAATTATTTATTAATATTATTGTAAGACAGCAAAATGCTCAATTTTCTCTGGAATTTTTCAAGTTTTGACACAATTTGGCTTGAAAAAATTAATAATTTGTCCAGAAATCATAGGTTTTGTGACCATTGATGAAGGTGCAGGGGATTTGGTATTTATCTGAGACTTTGCTTTGATCATCATATCCACTTCTCCATCTTCGTTTATTAAAACCATGTCATATATTGGTAGTTTCTCTGCATAGTATTCTATATTCTTCTTGTCATGGTGCCTGCAATATCGACAGTATAAAAAATATTTACATAATCGTCAAGTCACGTGTAATTACTATATATTTGATCTGACATACCTTTTTAAAAAGTTTTAATTAGAGGTGTATTTTACTGAAGGTAATATAACTCGCCTAATTGCTAAAAATATCATGTAAAATGAAATATTTATTTTTGAAATAAGAGTCGAGTAAAATGAAACAGAGGGAATAATACCTGTCGAATACTACTAGAGTAGGTTGAAGGGTAGTGATTAGATCCACCACGAGAGATTTTAGTGGATGGCCCATCTCTGTTCTGATTTTTGGTTCTACCTAAATTAATTTTGATAAATCAGAAAATAATTATTGAAGAAGAAATCATTTAAACAAGATTTTATATGATTATTATTTAAGAGAGCTGAAGTCAATACCCCATATTTTTCACAAAGATCAATTAGATATTGAACTTTGTGATACTTAGCATAATCAGTACTTCTCCATTGATCACTTCTCTCTCTAATCATTGTAAGTTCTTGAAAATCCACGCTCCAGATGTCCGTCCATGTCTTGGCGGAGACTGTAAAATTAAGAACATAAGTATATATCCTGAATATATAATGATCATCTTACGATAGGTGATAAAATTAGTCCATGAGAACATGACTCGTCAATTAAATGATTAAACATGGAAGTATATATATATATACGAGGAATATTGAGCCAGGGCATTATGCCAATAATGGTAACACTGCAACATGATTTCAAGGCAACATTTTTGAGTGGCCATTCAAGTGATTCAATGGAGAATTCTTTCAATGCATTCATCACTATAACTACATGTTTGGGAACATCTTCTTCTCCTGTTTTCTTGCAAAAATTCTTCTCTTCTTTATCACCAGACATAATCTCAATGTAATTATTTGTGAAGGAGAAAAGAAGGGATTTGCTCGAGGCATTTCACATACTTATATATAGGACAAGTTTTGAGGAGCTCAAAACAATTTGTTCGATATTAACAAGAAAAAGAATTTATGTAACCTAGGATGTGATGTACAAGAACAAAATACAATGAAGCCAAAAAAAGTTGCCTGGCTTGTGATGATTGAAGATGCTTCAATCCAAACGTTTTCTTTACACAACCTCAAAGTTAACTCTCAACCAAGCACACAAAATAACTAGTATTTATATTTTAATTGCATAGTCCTGTAAATATTTCGTACTTTTTACGAAACTAGTAAATTAATAAATGAATAGAAGCATTGATATTTACTATGCACTAAAGTTCGGTGTATATAATAAAAAATTCATACTACAAAAGCTCTCCAAGTTGTTGGGTATATGCGAGTAATAATAATTCTCAACAATGAGAATATAATATAAAATCTTTACTCTGCACTATACAATGGAACTCTGAAATATGAACAAAACAGCTGAACATCTATAAAACCATGTTTGTTGGAGGATACAAGATGCCTAGAGCTTGGTATCAGTGTTTCCATTAACAAATTACTAGTATTTTCTCATAGCTTATCTCATGCTGCCAGCCATTACAGGACGCATCGTAGAGCCAATGCTAGACCTTCGGCGACTGGTGGGATTACTGTCATCTCTAGTTGGAGATACTTCCATTCCTCTCCTCCTCTTATTAGCAGAACCTTCACTGCGCGAACCCTGCATAGCAGCTAGTAATTGTTGGGCTCTAGACCCAGGCATGTTTTTCTTTATCAGAGAGCACGCCTGCTTTCTTTCCATGTCCTGCTCTAGGTCTTTCTGCAGTTGCTTTTTGCAAGAAACCTGGCCTACCGTTCTTAGATGACCATGAGGAATATGGTAATCATTATCTGCAAATGAAAACCAATGATTTAGCACCAGCTTCTCTATATTCACTATAAGCAACAAAGTTGACAATAACATAGAAAAGGAAGATACCTGGGGGATCTTCTCTGTATATCTCTGGGCTTGGAGATCTAGGCGGTGTGTCGGGTGTGATATATAAAGTTCTGCTGGTAGAACCAGGGGTCAGAGTACTGCAGTTTTCTTTGAGTACTGAAACACTAGAAACTGATTTAGACAAATCTTTGAGAACTGAAGGTGAAGACACTTTATCCACTTCACGTGACTTGGAATCCAGAATATTACTTGCACCTAGTGGTGGTCTAGGAGTAGACATCATCTGCACATTTTCCTTTCCGTCACTATCATGAACCTTGTTGAGAGAACTGGGAGATGACTCATTTGCAGCATCATTGGATTCTTTGACACAGAAAGCTTGGGCATTCGGCAGAAGCGGAGAAGGAACACAGACAGCATCTGTATTCTCTAAAACCGATTTGGGAGAAGTACTCCGTATTGACGGATCTATAAAAGGCTTTTGCCCTTCAATAAAATCTGAAAACCAAGGGGTGCCCCTCTTTGCATAAAATAGAACATATGCTTCCTGTGATAAAACATAATCTTCTCGAACACGAACAACCTATCAAGTTGAAACAAATATAAAATCAGTTCATCATAAACGCTTGTTTTACCCCTCTTTTTTCCAGGGGAACTGCAGGTTACCATATAACAAAAATAAGCAACGATGTAATGATGTTTAATTTGGTACAAAAACAAGATGGTTACAAAGTTAGAAATCCACAGAATATTAGGAAACTTGAGAAAACTGATTAATCCTACACTAAACCATAAAAAAGAATAGAGAACTTTCTTTGTAGTATATACCTTTGAGTCATCAAATTTGTACCATTCATTTGGAGCAGAACGAATGAAGCTGTAATAGTGCCCAGAACAGTATGAAAATCCTATATGCACTATAACTGCATAAAGATCATACTTCATTTCTTCCTGTGCACAAGAAAAAAAAATCAAAATCATTTCCAATTTCAGAGATAAAGCAAACAAAAGAAGGATCTTAAATAGAAATTAAGTGAAATTCTGTATACAGTATTAACCCTGCTTAGACCCCATATCATATCTTACATAAACAAAGGAGTAAATTTCATTACACAAATACAAGTCTCTAGAGCTATCAGCAAATTCTTTACCAAAACTACATTGTAAGAATCCCAGAACTAGCAGCTACTAGAACTTACACGGGAAAAGTTTAACTCAAAAACTATTACTCTACTTCTAAGCAATAGTAATTACTCTTCATCGTGTTCTCTACCAGCAAAATTTCACTTTATTTCATATCTTCCATCTCCTAAAACTAAAAGAACCTCTGCAACACTAGGTCCTAACATAGACTCAGAGGAGTAACAGGAACTCACATTATCAGTTTGGTTATCAGCATAAGCATGCAAGTCCAATTCAAGAGGAAACGAAACATATTTGTCAATCTTCTCAACAAGAGAACCATCTGTTTTGAATCTCTTTAAATGAAGGGCCGCTACCGAGGGAGCCTTATCAAGTACAAGCTGCTTCTCAATGGAGACTTGCTCCTTGCATTTTTCACATGTAAACTTTGTTTCAGAGTCCTCAATTTTCTCAACCTTTGTGAATGACTCTAAAGCTGTGTCCACACTGTCGACATCTTCAATCTCTAAACTCAGATCTATTAGAGTCTCATATGTGTCAGAACAATGGCCACAATTACAACACCGCAACTGTAATTTCAGAAAGGCATTTGTAAAGTATTAATTCCACATTTGTATTTAAGAATGAAGACCATAGCATATATGTGAATGCAATTTTAAAATACAAGGCATAAAAAAATGACTAGTTTTCGATTCTTACTTTGCTAACTAAACGACCTCCAAAAGCCTGCTTCACAATGTTGTCAGTCTCTAAAGTTTGGCAGTCTTTTGGTCTTGAGTCATCACAACATCTTTCAAGTTTATCCAGGAAACACTGTAGAAACTCATGAGCATCTTCCTGTTGGAACCGATGGAAAGTAGAAGAAAAATCTGGTTTTTCACGAAGTTAAGGATGACAGTGAAACAACAGCTACAGATTTGCAAGCAAAGCAATGAATTTATTCAACCTTCATACCTAGCTGGCATATCTCGATAGAATCTTGAAATTGATAAATAATTATTTTAAAAAGATAATAAGTAACACTTCTAGTTCCACAGTTATTGGTAAATTTTAATTTTGATCCTTGTGATATTTGACTTAGCACATTTAACCTTTAATTAATTGAAATTTGTAATTTAATCACTTTACAACGAAAGTATGTTATAGTTGAACTATTTTACCATCAAATATGAAGTAAAAACACACATTTATCATAACATGTGGGTAATAACTATGATAAATGTGAATATTCACTAGCAAAGGGATCAAAAGTACACATTTTAAATGTGCTTACTCAAATATCACAAGGACCAAAATTAATATTTACCTTCAATCAAACAAAATGTGTATAAAATGAAAATATTACCCCAAAAATCACAAACAATGAATTTGAAAGGATACAGTTCAAGTTGTTAACAAATTTCCAGGGAGAGACTACACCAGCCTCAGAAAACAGTGAAGCATCAATAAGCTTTCTCAGCGCACAAATTACACAAAACCCCTTCAGGTAACCTGCAATTGTTACATGGACATATTGCTAATCAACCTCAAGAATAGAAAGAGAAAGAAAGATGATATTTTCTCCACCAGACAAGATTAATCAGATCACACACACTAACGTAACTTAAAGTGTTTGGAGTACGAGGATCGAACTATTCAGTTTTTCATTCTTCATTTGAACATAGATTCTCTTATTTTTTCAAAAAAAAAAAATTACAAATCTATTACAAGTCAAAACTTTTTATGAATGATAATAGAGAAATACAAAATGGAACAGAGAGGTTAATTCTTACTAGTACATGGTGTGGCGTGATCAATCGACTGAAGGCCCTGAATCAGAGGTACAGTGTGCATGAACGATTGCAAAACCGCGTTTAGAAAGCACGTATTGCCTAAATTAGCAAGCCCTGCACCCTGATAACAATCCAAAAAAAAAAATCAACAAAAAAGCAAAAGTACCAAAATCTCATTTAACATATGCCCTACAGTAAAAATTAGAGCAATTCATGAAGCTTGAAGACTAATACCTGCATAAACTTAGCTTCCTCGTCTCTATACGAATTCCACTGAGACTCAACCGTCGCCAATTTCTCAGTTTCAACTTTATTTTCCGAAGAGCCGTCCGTCCAATCGAAAGGCGATGGCTCATCCTCGGGCTCAGCATCAGTCGGTTGTGAATCCAAAGGCCTGGAGTCGGTGATTTTACCCCAAGGTTGACCCCAACGGCTACAATAATATGGAGCAGAGTATGTGCGAACAGGTGACGCATCCAATTCTTCTTCCTCCATACATAACTCCTCCGATTCGTTCAGACCGGCTGAATTTTCAGTATTCGGTAGATTCCGATCAGCAGAAATTGAGGAAGACCTATCTAGGGTTTCGTCAGAACTTACAAAATCAACCGGTTTAGAACCGGTTTCTAGGGTTTCTGAGCAAAGCGTTTCCATTGAAATGTTGAGAAAAACGTATGTAAGAGTTGACTTCTGGAGGAAGGAAAGCTGAAATTGGTTTTCTAGGGTTTTGAATTTGGGAGTTTTTGCAAGTTTAAAGGTTTTGAAGAATGGAGGGAAAGAGGAAGAAGAGGGAAAAGGTTGAATATGAAAATTGGGGGAAATTGGGAAGTGAAATCTAGATGAATTATTCAGATTAATGGAGAGTTTTGAAATGGGAGGGAAAAATCAGCCGCCATTTTGGATTTTTCAAGAGTGTTTTTCAATTAGGAAGGAGCCAAATGTATATACAGCGCGTAAGTGTAAAAAAACAATTACCAAAAGTTAACATATTCGTGGAATCTCACCAAATATGTATGAGTTTAATTTTATTTTAAAAAAAACTCATTTCGTGTAAGTTAATAGGAGTATTATTTTATCTACCTATGGAATAAATTAGTTTAAGAATTAGAATTTCGGGATTATAATCTCAGAGTAATTTAGTCTACAAATCAAGAGTGGATCCACATATCGCATTCCGGATGCTCGAGCTTCGACGTAAAATTGCTTATATAAAATAATTTCTTTAAAACTAACTATATTAAACGTTCAGCACTCGTGAACTAATCTCCTAATGGGTGTACTTTGGTTTAGTAACTAGTTTGAAGCATTTCTTATACGTTTTATGAATTTCGCGTGAGATGACAAAATCAAAAAGTCATGTCCAATCACTTTTCTTATTCTTCTTAAGAAATTTTGGCTATTTGGTTAAGAAAACCTTTTTTTATTCAAAAAATTGAGTTTGTTTTTTTAATGGTAGTATTAATCTTATTTTTTCTCATTAAACATCGCGTGTAAATAATCGTGGACTTATACTATGTGATTTATAGTAATTTTATATTAAAAGAAGTGAATACCCATAAGTCGAGAATCGTAGATACCTATAAACCAAACCAAACTGATCCTTAGCTTGTGAGACGTTAATTTGTCCTAATTTTTTAATTAAATAATGTTATTATTATGAAATATATTATTATCTGGATGTCCACTAAATATAATCTCCCCACTACTTATATCATTATGTTCCACTTCTGCCATGACCTCAAATTCTTAATGCTACATCTCCCACGTCCTCCGTTGATCTTTCCCCTTAATCATGTTTATGACATTCTCTTTGTTTACCTCTATGTAATCGATGGGAAGTCATATTATTCACATACTTGAATGAAGAAAGAGTTTATCTTATTGTTATTGTTCCTACACGCTCTTTAATAGAAGAAAGGTTGTTTAATCTACAAATTTTGAGTAACTTAAGAACTATGATTTCCTGACAAGTTTTAGAACTCATAAATTTCAAATCGTGGGTCAGGCTTTGAAAATGCAATGCTGAAAGAAAAGTAAAGAGACCATATTCTACTTTTTGCGCACAGTTTTTGCTAGATTACAAGTCGGTGATTTCTATTTCAACTCTAACAGCAGCACATAACACAGCGCAAAATATTCGACTCACAAACATCTATGAGCTTTAAGGCAAGTAAAAGTGTAAAAGGCAACCAAAAAAACACATTACAATAGGAAATTTTAAAAGACGCATCTTTAAGCGCTATAGAATGAGACACCAACTTCTCAAGAGCCTTAGAATTCTACTTCTTCTGAAAGAATGTCGTACTTTTTTCACCTCTACAAGCAATATTTAGATACTGTCATCTCCATTTCATTTATAACACACAAGAGTCTCTCCTCACAGGATTCTGTCTTGAAGATCAGACATCAAATTGGATGCTAAGGAGGACAGCTTCTTCCCAGTTTCTCCAGCAATATTTTTGATAGATGACATATCCTGTTGTGCCTGGAAGCATAAAAAGGAGACATTGGTAATGAAAATCCAATCAACACCTTCATATAGAAACTGGTGAAAAGCATTGGGTATCAAAAATTTCACTATACCTGGAAAGAGATCCTATTTATTAATTCGCCGGCAGTTATTTCATAAGCTGCCCCATCATCTTGACCAAAGAGGTCAGCACTAGAAATGGCGCTTGAACCCTATGAATACAAAGAGGGAAAGAAATATGTTTTAGAACCTGAGCTTGGTACTTCAGTTTTCAGATAAACATCAGCTTTACTAGATACAGTCTTCAATCTTGTTTGAAAAGATAGACACCAAAGCCAACTTCGTCAATTATGCATCGTAAGCACATTCACAATCATCATACAAACTATAGTAATAGTTAATAACCTAATTATAACATACTGTTATTAGCTTGCACCAAACAATTGGATTATTGATTATTATAATAATAGCTGAATCCGCTAAACTAAACTCAGACACTGATCAGATATTAGAAGAATCTAGGGGTTGAATATTTTAGCTGTACACTAGAGAGCTCCACTATTTTTGAGTCATTATAGATGCATTATCTTTACAACTTGTCTGTTATATGATCTGTGAAAGGCTTGTTGGAAGAGAAATGGTAATGGTTTCAAATCTCTTCAACTCCTACCAAAAGTTGGACCTGAGAAGTCTCTGAAATGGTGGTTGTTTTTTTTTTTGAAAAGGAAGTCTCTGAAATGACTTTCAATAGGAAGAGGATCAATTAAATCATGTTTAGGCCTTTTATATCTCTCTTATTGAATTGAGTAGTTAATAACGTATAAGAAAGTTCCTTATGCAGGAGTTTGAGTATGTGAAGTAAATTTTTTTTAATCTTCGGTTCCTAACTATTGTGACATAATTATTAAGAATATTCATCTGTTGCTTCGTTTTCTTTGTATCTTGATATTTTGTTATCATATTTTCTTACAATCCTGCTTCGAATAACTTCTCTTTCTGAGTTGATGGTCTATCGGAAACACCCTCTCTACCCCGTAAGTACGATCAAAATGATGACATTCATTTTTACTTTAGAAAGGAGAAGGGAAAAAGGCAATTTGCACCACCATCCTTCCTCAAAGATTCGATTAGTGTGCATTGACTTCTACTTTCCTTGGGCGACTTTCTTGCCTTACCAAAAGAATTTCATTTCACTTTTCCAAAAGGTTTTTAATAATTTGGAACAGAGAAGAATCTGAAAACGATAATGAGATGTTTAATATAGGGCAGCATTAGAGGCAATTCAAGGATTCAATGCTAACTAAAGCAGTAGCTGTACCTATATAAGGGAATATTATACTTCCCTTGTCCCAAATTTACTAAACTATAACTATATTGATGATTAAAATATAATTCTGACTTCTTTAGTCTTTTGGAACATCAAATTTAATTGGTTTATATCAATTCTATCCTGTTTATTAATGTCTATTCTATTGTTAGTTACACTGTCATAGTAAAGTCCAATATCACTCTAAAAGATTGTCAAAATAAGCCAAGTAAACTGGGAGGAGGTGTGTTATAACAAGCATACCGAGTATTTCTGAAGAGAAACTGAGGCTTCCTTTGCAGCTTTACTCTGATCACCAAAGAATTGAGCAGATGAAATGGATTTGGCATTAGTAAACTTCTTCCTTGCTTCATCAGTTTCCTCAATCTGATTAGAGTATAACGCAAACACATAAGACAAAACATATTAATAGCACTGGATAAAGATCAAGAGGCAGAAAGGAGAAACTTTATGTCACGCAAACATCACAAGTAAACAACTGATCTGTCAGGAGCAAAAGAACTGGGAGAGAAGGAACATAATCACAAATAGAAACGTCCAAAACTAATGATGCAGAAAGAGGAGCAAGAACCTACTTCTAGGCAGTCTAGGAATACCCTAATTGGTTTAACAAGTAAACAAACGCTAGAAACTTGAGGTACCAAGAGTTTAGGATGAAATTTAGTCCTAGCTTGCTTTTCCAAAAAGCCAGATATACACTAATTTCTATATAGTTAGTCAACCAGAAATTTAGCCAAGGAAGCTAGTGGGAAGGTCAGTGGAATAAGTATGCTCCAGAGCACTTGGGAATCTCATAAATAAAAATAATAGCTAACGAAGCATCCAAAGCTCCAACAGAACAGGGCATTACTTGTTAACGATCCAGGGCACTTCACCAATTTCTAAATAGTTAGTCAATCAAAACACTCAAGACCACGAGAAGAAACACAAAGCCATATCAGTTTTAAGTTGCTCACAAATAATTCCCTTGGTGTGTGTGTGGGGGGGGGGGGGGAGGGGATAT